ATTGTGACATTAACTAACCAAGAAATCATAAAGCATAAATGAAAGAAAAATTACAAACGGCTGAAAGGCATGCTATGCAGTTTGATGTGCCCGGAACAAAATAAAATAAAAAATGACAAAACGAACCCCATTCGCTCTACAACAACCATAAGAGTCATTGCAATGGGTGACACTTTTCTGTTAAACCTCAATTGCCAGGTGAAGTGAAGCGGCAAACAACAAATCATCCAACCAACAACAACCCGACAACAAGAAAAAAAGCAAAAAATCCAACTTCAAAAGAGTGTGTGACAAGCATATCAAAAAAAGTTATGGCTTATGGCCTGTAACTGTAACTGGGGTTTTATACAACAAAAAAGAAGACACGCTCACACATACGACCATACACACCATACTTCCCAGACAAACTACCACCACAACAATCTCAGTGTAAATTTATTCAATTAACAAATTTGTATAAATAAATATTTTTATTTTCTTTTATTTATGTTTTTTTTTTATGAATACTAACAGCTAACCCAATTCTTTATGAATGAGGCACCCACCGGAATGCTGTTGGTGTTGTTGCTGTTAACAACAACAAGCAACACCGTTTCAACAAAGTTTCGAAAAAAAAAACTCACAACACCTATCATGTGGTAACTTGGAATGTGTGTCACCACAACTCTCTTTTGACAATTGATTTGTAAACAAAATGGATATTGAGTATTGAGTCGATATTGTCAGCTCTGTGCTGTGGTATTGCGTCGGTTCTTGTCTGATGGAATTTTTAGTATGGCCTAAAATGAAATTTCATTTTCGTTGAAGGTATGATGGTCCACAAAAAGTTGTGTTGTTGTTCTTCTGGTGTTTGGGTGATTTTTAACGTGTAAGGTCAGGATTCTTATATGGAGAATTTTGAATGAAAATAGAAAGTGATTTGAGACGATGAACGGTAAAAGTGTTTTGTTAATTTATGGAGCTTGTTTTTTTAATTAAATAATTAATGATGCAGTATAGCGATCGGTTGGAAGAATATATTATAACCGATAAGGAAGATAAATCTGAGGGAGATTTTTGGAATATTATTTTGCTCTACAACACTATGTGTTGTGGGTATTCTATGTTTGATTGGGCCAAAAATTATGTAACACCTCGAAATATTGGTCCCCGACATAAGAAACTATATATGGATCTGGTATCTGGGATCTGGAACCTGTCCATGTTTATTTGTGATCACACTATGTGTTGTAATTATGGTCCGATCCTTACGAAATGGGAAATGGTGGAGGGGATAGGGTCAGGAATATATCAAAATAGAGTACTGTTTTTGGAGATGATCGAAAAATATTTAAGGATTGAAATGGGCCAAAAACAAAACAATTTCCTGATTTAGCTGTTGCGCTCTACAGACCACAATTATAAACCAATAAACGCGAAATTTTACATGGAGATAGAGATTAGAGTTGGACAGAAGTCTACCAATTCGGATCGTCATCGGATAAAATAAACCATAACTTTTATGTCAAAACCGTGAATATTTTTAATCCCATTCGAATCTTGGGATGCTAATAGCCAAGAAAAGATATAGATCTTTCTAATTCTGCTTATAAGTCAAAAAACCGCTGGTCTGATTTTCACAATTCTCATCAATTCGGAATGGTTTCTTGACAAAAAAAGGATAAAATGTTAGAAAACCCGGAAAAATATGACAATAAAAAAGTGATTATTCTTGTTAATTTTTTCAATTTTTGTAAAAATTTGTTATCGCAAGCGATTTTTTAAATTTTATACCCTCACCATACTATGGAGGGTATATTAACCTCCTGTAACCTGTAACTCCTCGAAATATTCATATCAGACCCAACAAAGTAGATATATTTTTGATCAGCGTAAAATTCTAAGGCGATTTAGCGATGTCCATCTGTCTGACTGTCTGTCCGTCTGTCTGTTTTCTGTTGTAATCACGCTATCTTTCGAACGAATTGAGATAGAAGGCGAAAATTTTGCACACATGTTTATTTTTCCAATAAGTCCACGTTTTCATATAGCCCGCATATAGCGGTACCTCCCGGTATTCGGTATTTTGATGAATTTAGCGACATTATTCAACGGAATTGTTTCAAATTTGGTATTTGAAGTTCGAAATGGATACTACAGCCTATGACAGAAAATTGTCTATGCAGGTCCAGGTCTTCGTATAGGCCCCATATATCAGTACCTCCCTATATTCGGTATTTTGACGTTTTTAGGTACAATACCCACCGAAATTGTTTGAGACGTCGTATTTCGCATCCATTACGAAGCTAACATTTTAACAGATTTTTTTTAAGGATTTTATTTTTTTAAATTTCCAAATTCGTTGCTAATGGTGGATGGTATTCGAAGTTCGGTTAGGCCGAACTTACTGCTTTTTAAATTGTTTCAATTTGACTTGTAGAATTTTGAATTGTACATTTTCTAAAGTTTTTCTGCAACCTGCGACACTATGTGTTTATGTCGTTATATACAGGTGGCAATTATCGTCCGATCCCCACGAAATTTTGCATGGGGTAGGGTTAGGGTCAGAATTAAAGTCTATTGACCACAAAAATTAAAAATTTCCTGATTTTGCTGTCGTTCTAGAGGTTATTATTGAAAACCATTATGTATATATTTTCTTGATCAGCATAAAATTCTATGTAGATTTAGCGATGTCTGTCCATCCGTCTGTCTGTGAAAATTTCTCTTGCTTCCGAACGAAATGGATTAGATTGATAAAATGTTACTCTGTTAGGATTGCAGAATTTTTGGTATTGAAAATGGGCCATATGGGTCCACGTTTTGGTAAGCCATTGTAGCGACAGATTTAATTTTTTTTTTTTGGTTGCTTATTCACAATTTTAGACTGAATTTGCTGTAAATTGCCAGTTTGTGTTCCCAATATGCATTAAACTGCGTACAAGTTTTGGTATCTGCAAATGTCTCCAGATTTTTGGTATTTTGATGATTTGTGTCACAATTTTCACTGGAACTGTTTCAAATTGTTTATTTGGAGTTCGTTATTTGTATTAGCTTCTATGACAGAAAATTACCTGTATAACGTCTTCGGTATTTTGGAGATGTAGCTGGATTTTTCAACAGAATTATCTAAAGTTTAGTATTTGGAGTTTGTAATGGATAGGTAGGTACCAACCTTCCTGGCAAATAATTGGCTTAGAGGTCCACGTTTTCGTATAGCCCCATTATATTTTAAAACTTGATATTCGGAGTTTTTTGAAATTTTCAGGGTTCTTATTTTTGGAATACTCATTAACATGTCAGAGTTTATTTTATTTTAGGATAGGTCAGTATTATTACTGGCCCTTAAAAAATGGTAAAAAGAATCATCGTCATAGGCAATAATCATACTGATCTATCGTAAAAGAAAATAAACTCTTTATATATATTAGTTTCCGAACAGTGTTGGCTTGTTTGTTCGGGATACCGTAGTATTTTGTTGTTGCAAAATGGTCAGGCGTTGTCCCTTTATTGTTGTTTTTATAAAAACAACGTTTGTTTATTAGTGGAGAACGATGGTAATGTTTACCAGGGGGTAAGGCAGGGAATACCTAGGTTTCGGAAAGAGTCACCAATCCTCATCAGTTCCCATGTTTTTTGTCTGGGATATTCTCCCCAGAAGTTATTTTAAAAATAACTTCTATGACAGAAAACATTTTTCACCCAAGTGACGAGATCGTAAGCTCAATAGAAGAGGAACCAAAGAATTAAATAAAACTAAAATTCTTTTCGAAAGTCTTCTAAATCTTGGTTTTGTCTGTTACAACAAAAACCCCTTCGAGAAACGGCTATTCGCTTCTCTAGAAAATAACAAGGAAATGTTATTCTTTCCACAAAACCCATATCCTTACTTTCCAGTATCAAATTCTAATAAATAATATAATAAAGAGAGACGACCAAAATTGGTGAAAATTGAATTTTGCAACTTCGTGCTACCAAAATGCTACCCAATATTTTAAAAATTGCAAATTTTATTTAATAGCAACCAAAAATGCCAGAACACATTCAGTTCGATCATAATTTGGGACTTTAAACTTTAAACTATTCCGAAAAAATTGACCTCGTTTGAGGTCACGATGTGTTCGAACTACCAAGTTTTCAAAATTTCAATTGTATTTTTCCTCGGAAACGATAAGAGGGAAGGAAACAGATGCGAAAGGCGTTCAATTCTATGTGGGCTTTTCAAGTTTATTAGTTTTCTTCTCAAGTTTATTTTATTTTTTTTTTTTTTCAAAAAAAAAATGAATTAAATTATGAATTTTAAAAAACATATGAAGAATTGGAGTCTTTTGGTATAAGAAAATAATTCTTTCCACACACATATTTAGGTCCTACAAACTACTGAAAGTCCGCAAAACATCTGATGACGAAATTTGCAGTGATTTTTGATTTTTTTTTTACTAAAATAGTTAAATCATTACCAAAAGATATTCCTTTAATAAAGACCATACAAAATAATAATAACAAATTTTAATGAAAATTAAAAATTAAGCATTAAGCTACAATTTGACATTGAAATTTTCAGAAATTATTGGAAATCTGTTTTATGGAATATATACATATTTATTTTTTCATTTTTTATTATTTTTTATACATTTTTTAATTTTTTAAAAAATTATAATTTAATTTCAAAAAGAAAAAAAAAATATTCTCCGAATGTTGCTATTTCATCAATTAAAAAATAATAATTTCATCTTCTCCAATATAAATTATTTGGTCACAATCACTAGTGACGTTTGTGTCTTAAGTCTTTTGTTTTCTTTGCAACACTCAAAGCTCATTCACACATAACTCAATTAAGAACACACACACAAACACTAAAATATGTATAAAATTCCAAAATAATATTTTCAACAAACAAAAAAGGCCATAGCACATTCAAGCTAAATAAAGATGGCCAAGACAAAAAAAAAACTTTCTCTTTTAACCGTTAGCCTTGTGCATTGATTTTCATAATTTAACTAAAACAACTCAAAACCTACCTGATATTTTAGTAATTTTTTTGGCGTTTAGGTTTCTAATTCAAGTCTGCAATTCTAGGCAGAACACTTAATTACACTTTTCCGGGGGCAAATTTTCGCCACACGACACTTCCAAAAAACGAGATTAAGACCAGTATTAACTGGCTACATAAATGTCACTCTTTTTTGTATTTTATTCCACTGCACAGTTTTAATTTTTCTGCCTTGTTGAAAAGTTCACAATTTGTTCGTTATTTTCTATGAGATATTTTCTTGGGGATGTCTTTACACGCTTAACAATTTCTTGTAACTGAAATTGTTATCGCCTTGAACTTGGCTTTATATATGCTGACCTATTTTTCCGACCGCCACTAGAGTTGGTATGATAAACCGGCTCGAAGAAATGCAGACACAACCAACATTGCCATGGCTAGCTTGGTAGCTAAAGCATGGCTTAAACATAAAAGAAGCCCAACAAACAAGAAAAGCCAACGTTTAAAGGCAACATGTCTTACAACATGTTTGAGTTGTAAGAAAGCCCAATCAGTGATTACCACAAAAGAACGAAGAAAAGCAAAAAAAAAAGTTTAACCACCAGCCAGTTGTTTGTCTTATGCCCGCGATCATGAGTGATTTATTTATGTGTGGCTTGAATGAAGGGACCTTGAGCGCAGACAACAAAGCCTTTGTTGCAATGCGCTGATGAAAGTGTTGTTACTTTACCTTCCGTCCGATGCGTGATGTGTAGGGCCTATCCTCGGGTAATGATCGTCATATTCATTATCTTAACACTGAACAATTTGTATTCTTTGTACTGTTACAGTTGCGCGTGAGCAATTACTGCTAATGTGTTTATTTGTGTTGTTAATGTGAAGCGCGTTGAGATTCTTTTGTTAAATTATGTATTTGTTATTGGTGCATCATACGCATGCCATGGATGCCACCTAGTTTTCTATGGACCAAATGCGGTATGAATGTAATTAGTTGTTTAATAAAGTCTATTTTTTCTAGCTATTCAACTAATTTAAAATTTAGGTTTTGGGAAGTTTATATTAAAACAAGTAAGCAAAGGCTATAGTCGCGCGGGGCCGACCATTTGATACCCTACAACACTATGTTCGAAGTCCCCTTATATTCAAATCCATTTTGAAAGATTTCGTTTTTGAAATAATGCCAGAGAGCCCTGCCCAGAGGTTACCCTTAGATTTTTGACCCGGAGAGTTTGGCCAATATTTACGAACTCCGTAGTGTTGTTAAATATTAAAAATAATTGCACACGAAAGTTGTGGTCCATTTTACAGCTAAATATAATCCAATTGTCGTCCAAAATGCTAGAATTCTTTCCTGTCCTCAACTCTCTTCTGATGCAAAATTCAGTGTCGATTAGTTTTCAATTGTGGGCCATAGAACGACTACAAAATTAGAAAAATTTAAATTTTTTAGCCATTTTAACCTCTAAATGTACATCCTAAGAAGAGTAGGCTTCAATTCCGACCCAACCCCCATGCAAAATTTCGTGTGGATCGGACGATAATTACGATATGCATATAATACCCTCAAAACGTAGTGTTGGGGGGTGTACAATTTTTGAAAATTTACAATTCAAAATTGTAAGTCAAATTGAAACAAGTAAAAAAGCAGTAAGTTCAGCCGGGCCGAACTTTGAATACCCTCCACCATTTGGAACGAATTATAAAATTTTCAAAAAAATAAAATCCATTAAAAATTCTTTTAAAATCTTTAAATTATCTAATATAGGAAGGTGCCGATATATGGGGGGATATACGATATTGTAAACCTATAAAGACAAATCTATGTCTGCGTGTAAAGTACTCACAAGGAACTCCTTATGTGGATTTTCAGATAATTCCATTGGAAAAGTGGCTAAAATCATCAAAATACCGAATATAGGGGAGTACCGTTATATGGGGGATATACGATATTGTGGACCTATATAGACAAGTTCGTTTCAGGGGTAAAGTGCTCACAAAGAACTCCGTGTGTGGATTTTCAGACAATACGATTGGAAAATGGGGCTAAAATCATCAAAATACCGAATATCGCGGTGTACCGTTATATGGGAGCTATAAGTTATCGTTAGCCTATATAGAGAATTCTCTGTCGGGGGGTAAAGTGCTCACAAAGAACCCCTTGTGTACAAAGAACCCCTTGTGACCATTCCGTTAAAAAATATGGCTAAAAACATCAAAATACCGAATATCGGGGGTACCGTTATATGAGGGCTATACGATATCGTGGACCTATATAGATAATTCTCTGCCGAGGTATAAAGTACCCACAAGAAACTCCTTGTGTGGATTTTCAGACAATTCCGATGAAAAATGTGGGTAAAATCATAAAAATACCGAATATCGGGGGATACCGTTATATGGGGGATATACGATATCGTGGGCCTGTATAGAAAATTCTCCCTCAGGGGGTGAAGTACTCACAAGGAACTACTTGTGTGGATTTTAAGACAATTCCATTGAAAAATGTGGCTAACATCATCAAAATACCGAATATCGGGGGTACCGTTATATGGGGGCTATACGATATCGTGGACCGATATAGCCCATAGAATAGAACTTGACCTGCCTGCAGACAAAAGAGAGATCTGTGCAAAATTTTAGCTTCCTATCTTAATTCGTTTAGACTGTAGCGTGATTACAACAGACGGACAGACAGACGGACGGACAAGGCTAAATCGTCTTAGAATTTTACGCTGATCTCAAATATATATTCTTTATTGGGTCTTAAATGATTCTTTCGATGAGTTACAAGCGGAATGACAAACTTAATATACCCTCCACACTTTTTTTGGTGGAGGGTATAATAATCGCATGCGATAAAAAATATGACAAAAATTTAAAAAATTTTTCCGCGATTTTCTTAGATTTTATCGTTTTCTGGCAAGAGGCCATTTGGAGTTGATGGGAATTATGAAAATCGGCCCAGCGGTTCTTGATTTATAAGCAGAATAAATAAGATTAAATCTTTTACATATATATTGCACCTATTTTACTATATATCCGATTTCTTGGCTATTAGCATCACTTTAATGATCAGAATTGATCTTTTAATGTATTTGTGAAACAATAGGGTTCTATTCTGACCCTAACCCCACCTCCATTTTCAATTTCGTGAGGATCGGTTCACAATTGCGACCTGTAGCTTGATTACAAATTAACATGGACAGGCGGACGGACGGACATACATAGCTAGATCGACTCAGCTCGGCGAGATAGGAAGATCTATATATACTTTCCTATGTGGGAAACCAATACTTCGAGGTGCTACATAATTTTTGGCCCAATCAAACTTATAATATCCCCAACACATAGTGTTGTAGGGTATAACAAGTAGACTTTAGACATGCGGAGCCGACCATTTGATACCCTGACTTGATTTTTTTTTTCAGAATTGACCAGTCCAGCCGTTCTTGAGTTATAAATGTAGAAACAAAGACCACTTTTGTACCCTCAGCCATATGGCTTCCTTCAGCAGCATCGAAATAATGGTTGAAATTAAATGGACATTAGGTATCAATGGACCGACCGTCTGTCCATGTTATTTTTTGTAAGCAAGATATTGATCGATTGCGTTGAAATATGCCATCGTTTATTTGTTTGGTCCAATGAAGAACCCTTTTGAAATTGTTGATAATCGGATCCGATTTAGTCATAGCTCCCATATATATTTCCGCCCGATGGTGTAGGGTAGCATCTAGTAGGTGCACCAAACGTTTAATATTTCTTTACTGTTTTTCAAACCCTACACCACATAGAGGTAAGGGTATTTTGTCTTTGTGGATTTCTTTGTAACATGGACAAGAAACCGAAATACACCCATAGCTATTTTAAAGGATCTTCGTAAAATCACTTTCTGAGTCGATTTATCCGTCCGTCTTTCCATATAACAATGTGAACAAAATGCAGGTCGCATTTATAATCAGATTGACATGAAAATTTCCAAAAAGTATTTGTTTGGCCCAAGGACAAACCCTATTGATATTGGTGATAATCGGATTAGATTTAGATATAGCTCCCATATTTGGATATACAGGGTAAGATGAAAAAACGGCAACCAACTTCAGACTGCTGTCATTTCTAAGCCACTCGTCCGACAGCTGTTAAAATTATTCCAGTGACAGCTCATTATATTGTTTACAAGAGTACAAAAGAATTTTGGTGAGAATTTTCCAGATTTGGTTGGAATTCTCTATATTTGGCTGGAAAACCACAAGTGGTTATCGTTAGAGCACTCCAGCATTTAAATGTGAATAATTTTTTGTGTCTCGTACCATCGCTCGTTACCATGATAGTGGTAGCGTAGCCCGACGTCAAGGTAGTGGACGGAAGAAAACAATAACATCAGCAGAAATGGTTCGAAAGTAAAGAAGCAACTTGATCGAAATCCGCGTCGAAATGGCCGAAAAATAACTCGTGAGCTGAACATATCGCAATATGGTCGCTCCCCGCTCGTATTAATCGACCGTTGCATCAGAATAAATGCCAATTATTATGGCGAAAATATTCTGGAGGGTGTATTAAAGCCTTGGGCATCCAAACATTTTGGCCGCAGACCTTGGACATTCTTATCACTTATCACCATCGCACTCAGCACTCAGCACGCTCCATCTAAGAATGGTTACAAAATAAGGTTCCTGGCTTCATTTACACCGCACAATGGCCACGAAAATCTCCGGATACCAATCAGTTGGACTAGTGTGTCTGGAGTATTTTGGAAAGCAAGTTTGGCACTAAAAAATACCGCTTCACCGGTAATGGGCCAAAATACCGCAGAGCAATATTGGCCGTTTGAAGGACATAATTCGTGCCAAAGGTGAAAAATTCGAACAAGTCTACACTTTTTCAAAAATTTGATGCTATGTCCGTCCGTCTATCCGTCGTTCGTCTGTCCGTCTGTGGAAATCACTCTATCTTCTGCACGAAATGAAGTAAGTTGACAAAAATTTACTCAAATGTTTATTATATCTGCAGGACTTTTGGTATTAAAAATGGTCCACGTCTTCCTATAGCCCCCATATAACGGTTCCTCCCGATATTGGATATTTTAATGATTTTAGAGACATTATTTACCGGAACTCTTTTAAATTTGGTACTTGAAGTTCGTAAAAAATACTTCAGCCTCTGACAAAAAATTGTCTCTTCAGGTCCACGTCTACGTATAGCCCCGGTATAACGGTACCCCCTATATTCGGTATTTTGATGATTTTAGCGACATTATTCACCGGAATTGTTTCATATTTGGCATTTGAAGTTCCAAATGAATACTACAACCTGAGACAGAAAATCGTCT